ACCTGATGATAGGACATTAGAGCTTCAAAGATGTCAATAATCAAACTAGCTCATACGAGCAGCCTATTTGGGCATATCAAAACAAAACAAGAAGCTAGGACACTGTAAGCAAACATAAAATAAATAAATATAATAATTTACTGATACCTCAGAGACAACAGTCAATATTAAATCACGTGAAGAGGCAATCCATGATGGCTCCAGCAAGCTCCCAAAATAAAGAATCTAGAAATTTTCCAGAGGAGGAAAATTTCTTGGAATTACCACAGGTAGAGTACAAGAGATTAATATACAGAAGTCTTCAAGAAATTAGGAAGGAAATTAATCAAAATGCAGAACAAGCAATAGAGAAAATTAAAAAGATTAGAGAAGAGCATAATGACAAATTTAACAGGCTGCAAGAATCCATAGAGAGACAGCAATTAGAAATCCAGAAGATTAACAATAAAATTTCAGAATTAGACAACTCAATAGAAAGTCATAGGAGCAGAATTGAGGCAACGAAAGTCAGAATTAGTGAGACTGAAGATACAGCACTTGACACCAACTTATTTGAGGAAAAATCAGATGAAAGGATTTTAAAAAATGAAGAAACCCTAAGAATTATGTAGGACTCTATCAAGAGGAATAACCTAAGAGTGATTGTAGTACCAGAATGGGGCAGGGTGAGGGGGAATAACAGAAAATACAGAGAGAATTGTTGAAGATTTGTTGGCAGAAAACTTCCCTGATATCGTGAAAGATGATAAGATATCTATCCAAGATTCTCATTGAATCCCACATAAGGTGGATTCCAAAAGAAAGTCACCAAGGCATACTATAATCAAACTTGTCAAAACCAAAGATAAAGAGAGAATTTTACCAGCGGCTAAGGATAAACGAAAAGTTATCTATCTACAAAGGAGGCTCAATAAGAATAAGCTCAGGCAACTCAGCAGAAACCATGTGGGCAAGAGGGCAGCGGGGTGACATTTATAAAGCCTTGAAGGGAAAAAACTGCCAGGAAAGAATTATATATCCAGCAAAACTGTCTCTCAAATACATGGTGAAATTAGGGCATTTCCAGATAAACAGAAGTTTAGGGAATTTGAAAAAACCAAACCAAAATTAAGAGAAATACTAAAGGGGGTCCTGTGGTTAGAAAATCAATAACATCAGATAAAAACCCAAGACTAGAACACAGGACAGAGCAACCAGATACCAACTCAGATAGGGAAGTCACAGAAGTAAATCAAAGCAAAAACACTGAAAATAGGGAAACATGTCAATATGTAAAAGATGACAATATTACAGAAAAAAGAGGGACTTGAAAAATGTAGACAGATTTTTTCATATGGAGAGGAAGTCATGGTGATATAAAGAAACAAAAGACTGGCATAAACTTATAAAAATACAGTTAAATAATCAGGTAACCACAAAGGAAACTAACAATCCTACAAGTCAAAATAAAAAACTAGAAAAATATAGACTCAGCAAACACAAAATCAACAATAATGAAAAAGATGAAAAGAAAATACATAAAGAAAAACGACTCAGCACAGAAAATTAAGCGGAACAAAGAAACTGTGAACAACACACAAAAAAGGACATCAAAATGACAGCACTAAACTCATACCTATCAATAATTATGCTGAATGTAAATGGCCTAAATGTACCAATAAAGAGACAGACAGTGGCCGATTGGATAATAAAACACGATCTGTCTATATGCTGCCTACAAGAGACACACCTTAGACTTAAAGACAGAAAAAAACTAAAAACTCAAAGGATGGAAAAAATATACATCCAGCAAACAACACTCAAAAAAGAGCAGGAGTGGCAATGTTAATCTCTGACAAAACAGACTTTAAAGTAAAATCCACCACTATGGGTAAGGAAGGACACTAATGATTAAAGGGTCAATACACCAGGAGGACATAACTATAATAAATATTTACGCACCCAATGACAGGGCTCCAAAATACATAAAACAAACTCTAACA